GTTGCAGCCGTCATTGTTGTTTGGCGGGCCCAGGCTGGATTTGAACCCACCACCTTAGGTGTATGTGGCTGGTGCCTTAGCCACTTGAGCCACAGGTGCCGAGCCAGAAAAGAGAATTATTTAGCTCATGGTTCTATAGGCTAAGAAGTTCAAGGGCATGGCCCTGGCTTTGGGAGAGGGGCTCTCATACCACATCACAACGTGGCAGACACCATCTGCAGGGAAGCAGACTTGTGGGAAGAGAGCACTGAGGGGCATCCTGGCTTTATGACCACTCACCCTTGCGGGCACTAATCCATTCCCATGAGAACTACTCCAATCTCTGGAATTCACTCACTGCATTGGGAACAGCAGAAGCCATTCATGAAACCCAGACATGTCCAGTTAGGCTTTGCCTCCCAGCACTGACAGACAAGCAAACTATATCCAAATCACAGCATATGCCGAGAACATTTTGGCTGAGCAACACGCCAGAATGTGCCTATTAATTTCCAAACATTAAGAAATCTGTATGTTTTGGGCAGCACTTGTGGCTCAGTGGGTAGGGCGCCAGCTCCATATACCAAGGGTGGCGAGTTCAAACTGGGCCCTGGCCAAACTGCAACCGAAAAATAGCTAGACATTGTGGCAGGTGCCTGTAGTCCCAGCTACTCCGGAGGCTGAGGCCAGAGAATCGCCTAAGCCCAGGAGTTGGAGTTTGCTGTGAGTTGTGTGACACTATGGCACTCTACCGAGGGTGATAAAGTGAGACAATGTCCCTAAAAAAAAATAAAAAAGAAAAAAATAAGAAATTTATATGTTTTTTCCACTTGCCCGAGGTACACAGAGTAGTCAAGCTTACAGACACAAAAAGTAGAATGTTGGTTACCAGGGACGGGGCGGGGAGGGGGTTTGGGGGGGGGTGTTGACAGTGCAGAGTTTCAGTTGGAAGCCTGAAAAAGTTCTGGAGATGTACACTGGTGATGTTTGTGCAACAATGTGAATATATTTAATGCCATAGAGCTATACACTTAAAAATAGTTAAAAGGATACATTTTATGTTGTGTATATATTTTACCACAATAATATATATACACACACACAAACACATATAAAAGAAGTGTCTCTCAGTATGACATAAAATCTGGAAATGATAAATTAAAAAAATAAACTAATACTTTGCTCACACTTTCATAATCAAACTTTCTGCATTGAAAAAATGACATGAACAATATCAAAAAGCAAAGAATAAACTAGGAAAACATAAATAAAATCAGCTGGGTCCCTTCTATACCCTGAGGAGAAAAACCAACAGCAGAGGACAAAAGTGATTTTTAAAATTTAACCGTTCTGGCTCAGTGCCTGCAGCACAGTGGTTACAGCGTCGGCCACGTACACCAAGGCTGGTGGGTTCAAGCCCAGCCCAGGCCAGCTAAATAACAACAAAAAATAGCTGGGCATTGTGGTGGGCGCCTGTAGCCCCAACCTTGGGAGGGTGAGGCAAGAGAATCGCTTAAGCCCAAGTGTTTGAGGTTGCTGTGAGCTGCGATGCCATGGCACTCCACCCAGGGTGACATAGTGAGACTCTGTCTCAAAAAAAAAAAAAAATTAACCATTCATTCATTTAGCCCATATTTATTTAACCCTTATGTATTAGACACAATTCTAAGTGCTAGGAATACTGCAAAAAGAAGGCAAGGAGATTCCATTTCCTTTGGGGTCAACAACAAACTAAGTAAGGGAAACACATGCAATGTTGGAAAGTAGTAAGTGGAGAAAACAAAGCAGGCAGGGAGTGGCAGAGAGCTGTGACGCCAGACTGAGGTTCCACAGGTGCCCCAGAGCAGGTGGCATTTGAGCAAAGCCTTGAGGAAGGGAGACGCTTCTCTTTAGGAGCACTGCGGCCTAACCACCCAGGGAGCACAGAGCCTGAGGAGGCCAGAAGCCAGCCTTAAACCGTAGAGTGAGGTCTGCAAGGTTAAGGGGTCCCTCCTCAGGATTGTAGAGCAGCAGGTGAGCCGTTATAAAGTCTATGACTCTCACCTCCAATAAGCTGGGAGCCACTGGAAAGCAATGAGCAAAGGGGTGGTTTCTTTTTCTTTCTTTCTTTTCTTTATTTTTTTTTTTTTTTTGAGATAGCGTCTCACGTTGTCGCCCTCAGTAGAGTACTGTGGTGTCATTGCTCATAGCAACCTCAGATTCTTGGGCTCAAGTGACTCTCTTGCCTTAGCTTCCCAAGTAGCTGGGGCTACAGACATCTGCCACACACCAGGCTATTTTTTTTTTTTTTTTT